TGGTCCGAATACAAGAACGATGGATATGCACCAAATAGGACAGAAAGCAACAAATCAAGCATGGATGATCCTGATGAGCATGGATTAAAACCTGCGATTAAGACAAAATCTGGAAGACATGTACGCTTTCCTGTACGATTTCAAGTATCATGATTTACTTAAATTAAATCATTAGCAGGGGGGTACTGTGGTGAGTGCTTCAATACTGTTGAAAACCAGCTGAAAGTATAACTTTGGTTTTGTTTAAATGAGTTGCTATGGTTACCTAACAGTTCATTCCTGGTTTATATAATTCATACACTTATGTTTTTGTCATGCTTATTAAATTCTATTTTCTATCAGTTTCTTGAATAATTTTATCATAAAAGTAACAAAAATAGTTAAAGAAGAACCTATTTCTTCAGATGTTATCTTTCGTTATGTTCCTTCTGAAGACAACCCTTCAGATGTTGCGACCCGAGGCATGACTGTTGATGAATTACGGCTTTGTGAAAAATGGTGGACAGGTCCACAATGGTTTAAATTGCCTGAAAATAAATGGCCAGAGTGGAAATGTAACCCTCCAGAACCAACTGAAGAGAATGTAATTACTGAAGAAGTTGTTGTTCTAAGTGATGCCTCCATAAACCAGATCGGGGAAACCCCATTCGGAATAGAACTGTCCAGATTTTCCAACTTACAGAAATTATTGCAAGTCACATCATACTGTAAAAGATTCATCTTACTCTGTCAAAAGCATAAAGATACGCCGAAATCTTCATGTATAACTTCTACAGAACTTACATCAGCCCGCATTGTCTGGGAAAAGTACACCCAGAAAAAGAATTTTTGTCAAACTCTGAAGAATATTGAAGCCAAAAAGAATGATTCGCTACAAAAACGTTTGACATTATTTCTAGACAATGATGGACTCCTACGATGCTCTGGAAGAATTTCAAACGCTGATCTTCCACAAGACTTGAAGTACCCAAAACTGTTGCCAAAAAACGATGAGTTCACAATTCTAATCATCAAAGACTATCATAATGGATTATTTCATGCAGGGGTTCAACACACCTTAACAGAAATGAGAAAGGAATACTGGGTAATAAATGGAAGATCTCAAGTTTTCAAAACTATAAAAAGATGTTTAACTTGCATTAAGTGGGAAGGAGGACCATACAAACTACCAACGATGCCACCTCTGCCAGCTGAACGTGTTACGGAACAAATCCCATTCACTTATACAGGGCTTGATTACTTTGGGCCTTTATATGTTAGATGCTATGAAAGGTCTGAAGAAACACGGAAAGTATACGGCTGTATATTTACGTGTTTAACAGTGAGAGCAATTCATTTGGAACTTGTAAACGATCTTACTACAAATGAGTTTTTACTTGCTTAGAAACGGTTTATTAGCAGGCGAGGTAATCCAAGAGAAATATACCTTGACAATGCTCCCCACTTTAGACTCACTGCTTCGTTGTTGGAAAAATTATGGCAGAAGAACTTTGAAGATGAAAGCGTCTTAACTTATGTGAGTCTTCATGGTTGTAAATTCAATTTCATCACTGAGTTTGCTCCCTGGAGGGGGGGGATTTTACGAAAGACTAATTGCTCTAGTCAAAAGGTGTCTGAAAAAAGCTATTGGACTACAAAAATTGAACTACACACAATTGGAAACTGTTCTCGTTGAGTCTGAGGCAATTATAAACTCCAGACCACTTGACTACACATCCTCCAGTGAATCATGTGTAGCAGATGATATAATTACTCCAGGACACTTTTTGAATTTCCACGGGAAAAATGGAGTTTTAAGACGGACAGTTGAAGATAAAAGACTTGATACTACCTTTCAAAAGAAGAGTTCAACCATGAAAAGGCTTTTGGAAGTTTGGAACAAAGGTAACTCAATATTAGATTATTTTTGGAGACATTGGCAAACAGAGTATTTAATCTGCCTGCGAGAAAAACGAAACCATGAAATAAAACAAAAGAAAGGTACTTCAAAACTTATTCCACAGATTGGTGACATCGTATTAATCTCTGAAGACCTACCTCGTGGGAGATGGAAGATGGGAACGATTGTAGAACTTCACATCAGCCGTGACAAAGAAGTAAGAAGTGCAACTGTAATGTTGAAAAATAAGAAGAAGGTGGTACGACCTTTAAGCTTACTTTACCCCCTGGAAGTAAATTAGTGAAGAAGATTAGTTCAACTTTTGTGTTCCGTGGGAGTGTGGCTAAGCCATAAGACTGTACATAAGAAATGTTTTTATTTTCATATGCTTTATAACACAGATGATATTTTGTTGGTGATTGTAAATAAACTAATACCTTTTGGGATAAAAAACTAAACTGGATGAAATAAGTGTTCTTTTTTCTTGTAACTTAAACTAAATTCAATCCATAGAACTAATCACATTCCTAACTTATATTTAGTAATTACCAAAGAATCTTGAAACTAAACTACTAAACTTTACTCTAAATTTATATACACGCTTCCACAATTAAAACCACTTATTGGACAAGACAAAACTCAATCCTCAATCCAAATTTCGCGTCACTCCCTCTTATCCGAACACCTTTTAACCGGACATCGGTTTAACGGGACTACACTCGGCGGAAATGACATCTCTTTAACCGGACATTTTTTATCAGCACTTTGGTTTAACTGAACTAGATTGGCAGGAAGTGGGCAGTACTGAAATGACTGTTCTCGTGGGAAAGATTTGAGACCGGTGATCACGTTTCTAAATACAATGCTCTCCTAAATTTAAGTCGAATATCACAGTAAACAGTCCGTTTTAACGAGTTTTTGGGGTCGTCGGTTTAACCGGAAAACCCGTTACCTAGACTAGCCTCGGACCCGAGGAGTCCGGATAAGAGGGAGTTTACTGTACTTCAGTTTTATAACGATATTTACTAAACACCAAGAAATATTTACAATTAAATCTATATAATTAATACGCTACATGAAAATTTGTCGGTTGAACTCCTCCGCCATTTCTTAACCGATTTTATCCATTGGCGTCTCATTGGAAAGAGCATGTCGCGTAGATTTGCAAACTGGCCTTACATTTTTGAAAAAATCCCTTGGGCTCTGCCCCAGTGGCTTTGAAAGTTCCCATGTTATCCTTGTGAAGAACATAATTGTTTACATTTTGATCAGCTGTATAATTTAATTGCTGTTATTTATTTTTCAATTCAATGAAATGCATTGAGTACATTTATTTACTATTTGAGTTTGTGTAAACATAACCCCCAAGACGGATCGTGTTCATTTCATTTCATTTCAAACAATCTTTATTCTTTTAGTACATATTTACAGTACATTGAACAGTGTCGAAAAGTGATTCTTTATTGTAACTTAAACTGTTTTCTAACTTATTTCTACAATTTTTTACCATAAAGAGAAGACTATTTATACTATTACAATAGAGATTCTCAACAAAACAAACAACAATCGTGAACTAAATTAAGAAAGCAGTAAAATATTCTAAACATCCAAAAGCCCTTCAAGTCCCAGAAGGTTTTGAATTAAACTCTGGGTCAAGAAATTCTTGTATATTATTATTATTATTATTGTGTTAGTATGGTTGTATCTTAAATTTGTGTATTTATCATTGTTTTGTGTAGCTATAATTTGTTTATTTGTTGTTTTTTTATGCCTCCGATGCGACGACAACGAAACATAAACAGGAGGCGTAATCGTGATAACGACCGCAGCTACAGAAACAGAACAGTGTGGAGCGTAATAGGCTTAACTCATCACAGTCAGCACCTGACCCTGGACAAACTCAACTATTAGGTTACAAATGCGCCCTTTAACACTACCCCAAAACGACTTTTCGTTCTCAATTAGTTCTCTATCATGACCTGTGTTGCCTGTACAGCGAGGCATTTTAAGAAGGAGAAAACCGGCCGGAATGCTTTAGGTTTATCAATAACGAAGATAAACATGGTCTGAGTTACAGTACACACCGGTAATCTTATTGAGTTGAGTCTTTTAAACACATTGTAAATATGACTGTTATTCGTTTTGAAATAATTCCTGTAATACTTTGCAATTCCTCGAATTCGAGCAACATGTACACTAGTGTTCTAATTAATCTAGTATTCATGTTTATGTAGGCATCAGGAGTTTGACTTATTTTAATGTATAGTTTTAATTTATAATAAATAAATTACCTGGTTTTGGGGTTTAAATTCATCAGTCACATATTTATTTTATGTTATTTTTATTATGTCAGGGTCAGGATTCACAGTTTTGATTGAATACTTAACATTTAATTATTACCAGAATTTTTGTAGCCTTGACCTTTGTATCCAGCTAAGTAAAAAGTTTAGCGTTTAGAAGATTCTAAATACATTTTTTCTGGTTTTGACCATCACTAAAAAATGAGCATTTGAGATTTGGTGATTTTTAATTTTAACTTTTTTTCTTTTCAATAAGAAGTGCAATTTAAATTTTTTATTACATCTTCTTCAGTAATTAAATAGATACTGTATTCATATTTGAATAGGCTACTCACAAAGTTTATTGATGGTGAATTTATTGTTTTGTTCAGTTGTTAAAAAAGAGTTAACTCAATACTAAGAGGAGTTATTAAACTAAGTTTCAGTTTGCCATGCTGTATTTTTTCACTTGTACAAAACTAATAATGTGTATATTTTAAGGTTAAATATTATCATATCACAGACAGGGACATGATATTGTGTAACCTCATAATTAGTATAGCTGTGTTGAAAACTGAGGCCATCTAGCTATTTCTTTAGCCCGGATCAAGTAAAACTCAAATGATCAAAGACAGCTAGGCTAAATTTCAAACCATTACAAAGGTATTGACTTTTTTTAAGATTGAACCAGAAATATACCGATTAGGAGGTAAGCACTATACACACTTCCAGCTATTTAATTCACCTCTGTTAAGTTAGTCATATAAAAAAAAAATAAATTTGTATTTTAAAGATCTAGTAAATGTGAAATAGTTAATCAACAATAAACAATCAATACTCACAGTACACAGTAGTACACCAGACTTTGCTGCCTTGAATGACTGGAACACTTTGGTACGATCGTGCTGTGTCATGTTACCATGTAGCCGTAGGAACTCCGCAGTCTGAGGTAGGACTGTGGTCAACAGCTCCGTGTGAAAGTCTACCATGTCCTGGGTAGCCATGAACACCAGCATCTTCCTCTGTTTGCACACCTGCAGCAACACGTTGGAGATAGTGAATAACTTGCTTCAGCAGTGAACCTTCTTATCTTATCTGATAGGGACAGATGGAAGCCCCCATATGTTCCTTCCAAAATTGGGTTTTTGAGCACCCAAATCAGCTGATGACAGAGGTCGTCCTTGCCCATAAATCTGATGCATGCAATTCCATGTACTATCGTACTCCATGAATGATCAACTCCTCTTCAGGTAGATAACACTACTTGGCGAGTTGCACAAGGTTGTTCACATAAACGGTTTCCTCCAACAGTGGATACCTGACAAACAATATGTTTATGGGTTGTTACCCATGTGTTGCAGGTGTTTGTAAACCAGAGTCCATAACCAGTCTATCACTAACCAGCCTATTCATTAACCAGTTATATCATCCGTATGACTATTTTGCTTTCCAATGGCAAGGTCTCCTACTTCTACTTGGAAACCTAGTTTTCCTGGAGTTGTACAGATAGTAGAATCCAAAATTTTATCTCCTAATAGTTCAACTCCAAGTACGGAAAAATAATTAAGATCTTAGAAAGCTTGAATACAAAGTAGCTTTTGTCTAAGTTGTGGTTATATTTTGGCTCAACAGTCAATTGAGTAGTTAAGTTCACAAATACTAAAGAGCAATAACCTCAGCACACTGAAAGGAGAGCAGAGAATGTTTTAGAAGTTGAAGGAAGAAAAGGATGAAATCTGGACTCTTGGTGTTCAAAAAACAAAAAAAGTAAACACCCTCACCTGACATTTCCAGTGTATAAACGCAGCCAGTGAGACGAGCCGCAGCTTGGCCGGTGTAGTGATATACAGCTGACGCAGCTCCTGAGGTATGACCAGGTCAGTGTCTGCTGCCTGAGAGGCGTCCAGACGAGCTGGTGAGGTGAGCGCCAGGCCGGCCAACCGCTCCACCTGTGCTGTCAGGGTTGCGGACAACAACACAGTCTGGCGCTTGCCACCGTGACTCTGCGAGTCCAGCATCTGCACCAGGCTGGAATATCACCCAAATACATGGTATTAGTCTAATCTGAATTGCCAAGAGTGACTTATGAAAATTCAAATGTGAAAGCAGTCAAAAATGGCTGAAGTTCAAATTCCTGCAATAGCCTATTTCATAGGCCATGTGTTTATAGGAGTGTGTTGCTTTCACACAGGTTAGGCCTAGTGTCTTGGACTTGCAATAGGGGTAGGCTCAATTACTGTCATATCCACAACAATTGTATGGCTTTTGACTGCTATCCCCTATATTCCTTCATTGGCAATGCCACTGAGGTAGGCACTGACAAAAACAAATATTTTTCTAACACATAAGAAATATCCACTATACTTCCAAAAGAGAAATTTCCTATCTCAACTCAAAAAGAGTATTCTTACAGCACTATTAACACCCTGATTCTAGTTTTACCTGCTACAACAATCTAGTTTCAAATTATTAGTATGTTTACATAAATTGTAAATCATCCATAACTTAGTAACTTATAACAGTAGTATTTACCTTGTAACTTCCTTTTCATAACCCAAGTCTAACAGTCTGTCAGCCTCGTCCAATACAAGCCATTGAACCTGCAAAACAATGTAATAATGAGTTGGCTATTACAATAGATAATAATGGAAATGTTGACTATCAAATATTTACCTTCTGACATTCAGCTAAGGCTTCTCCAACGCGCATTTTAACTTAGTATCATTTCCATGCAAGCATTTGCATTCCGTCAACAATTATTAACAAGTAAAACATACAATACACATACAAGTAAACATATTGGTAATGAATTAAGTCATTGCAGTTACTACTTCATGTGTGTATCTAGGCATATCTCAGCAAAGACTAACTGGGGGATGGGGATTTATCAGTAGCAGACATTGGCCTCTGATATTTCTATTCCAGGTGAGCAGCTGTGTCAAATCCTGCATATATACAGGGTGTTCATAAAGAGGTGTCACAAACTTCAGGGGATGATTGTACTAATCAATCTAAACAAAAACGTACATCTCAACATAGGTCAAAAAAATTTTGTTTAGCCGCTAGCTGCCATTTTGTATTTTTTACAAAACAATTTATATCTCGAGAATTATTCAAGCTACGGAAACCAAACTTTGGACATACATTTATTGTGTTAAGAGGCAATTAAAGATGAAAGAGAGGCTGATGAAGAAACAATTAAATTTGATATGACTAATAAACAAGAAGTGAATTAGTGCTGTCACCGAAGCAACTGTAAAAATAATGATGGATCAAATAAAGTCTAAAGCTTTAGGCAGTGATAAAATATCTGTAGACAACGGAACTGTGAGTACGTTTGCTATTGAATCAATCACACATCTTGTAAATGAGTCACAGTGGAGTATTCTGTAATGCATAGAAAATATTGTCAGGCCATTGCCAAAAACAGCTGCACCAACTAAGGTCTTAGAACAATATAAATTCTTCCAATGAGTAATTCAAAAATATTAGAGAAAATAGTGATTGACCAGATATTTCAATTTATGAATGATAGTAGGCTGCTCCTTAACTACAGTCAGGTTTTAGAAAAAATCATAGCAAATGTACGAAGCTTGAATTATTCAAGCTTTGACCAATTTATTCAATGATATTATCGATGCCAAGGACAAAGGGGAACACAGCTGTAACTTGTCATGCTTGATTACTCCAAAGCATTTGACTCTAAGGACCATAGTATGCTGATTGCAAAAATGAAATATATGGGTTTTAGCGATAGAATCACTACCTGGCTTCGTTCTTACCTTTTTGACCAATTGTAGATTACCTGAGTGAGACATCTGAAACCCTCGATAAAAAACGGCAAGCTCAAGGTAGCTGTTTGGAGCCTGTACTTTACACAGCTGACTTTCCCAGCTGTGTAAAACATTATACTGCACACTTGTATGCAGATGATTCCCAGTTGCACATATGAGCCTGGTTCCATGAAGGAGGCCATCAACAAGATTAACACTGAGAGCATCTCCAAATGGTCTCACATTAACGGGCTTAGGCTAAACCCAGACAAGTGCACTGTACTTTATACTGCACCTGTGAACCTAGTACAGACACTAAGAGATAATGGCTGGAGTATCAATCTTGATTGCAGGAGTCTGGCAGTGTGTGCCAAAACTCTTGGCGTCATTGTTGACAGAAGTTTGAGTTTTACAGATCATATCACACATATCTCTCAACGAGCAATTGGAAGACTGAGAGGTCTGTACAGGTTCAGAAGTATGCTGCATGAGGCTGCAAAAGCTTCAACTCATGCATTCACAGATATTGTCAGTAGTTTACCACTGTTTCTCTGCATATGGCAATAGTATCACTAAGGAAGACATGTGCAGAATACAGCGGATTCAAAACTCAGCAATCCGATTTGTATTCTGCCTAAAATAAATTTGATCATGTTCATGTTTCCCCCTTCTGGTCTTATGCCGTGGAAGCCAAGTGCAGGTTTTTGACGTGCTGCGTTACTCACAGGGTACTGACTCTCCGTAAGTCTGTCTATCTTTGCGAGAGGCTCTCTGTCCAGGATGAGATCATCCAACGTGGAACACGTCATGGTGGGAGGCTACTTTCCAAGGGTCACCTTGGAATTGGGAAAAAAGTTTCTCTTATTCAGGACCCACATTGCATAATGGACTACCCAAGAGCCTAAAAACCGTTTCATCCAGCAATTTAACTAATTTAAGATTAAGTTTAACAAATTTTCAACCGATATAAATGTTTAGTTGTTGTTAATGTAGTGACAAAAGTTGTTGTTCTGAAAAATTATATGTATCAGAGAAACGCTGGCTAATTAAGACTTTATTTATTTATATAACTACTGACCAGAATAGCTCAACTTTACCCAGTCTAGTCTGACAGCCTTAGTATTCTGCATATGGTCATTGATGCGGCCAGGGGTGCCAATCAGGATGTTGATGCCTTTCCGTAGCCGAGCTTTCTCTGACTTGCGCTTCTCTCCCCCCACCACCAGACCTGGTACTAGCCATGCGTACGACTGCAACAATCAAATGTAACAACAAACAATAGGCTTATTAGTTTTGTACAAAATGATAACCATTTAGGGTAAGGGTTTATTATTTTTATAAACACATTTTGTTTGGGATTATTGTGCAATAATCATCCCTCAAGTACTATCATAGGTCTACAGGACCACTCAGTAATTTTTCCACACTCCCCCTCTCATCCCCAAAACTGGTTCTGCTCATCACCTTACATTCTTGGCCTGGACATTGTGAGGTGAACTGTTACAGGCAGTAGTAGTCATGACAGTCAACATCAACACTTCCAACAAAAATAGAGCCGGTCAACTAACTACAGGAGGGAGGAGAGAGTGTCAAGTAATGTGAAGTGTTTGCTGTGCAAGTTCAAGTCTTATAAGTATAATAAATGTGGAAAGCTAGGGCATTTAGCAAAGGTTTATATATGAAAACAAGATTACATTATATCAATCCTATAATACTATTTACTGTTTCTACAGTATTGCATATACTACTGTAAGGTGCTAACCCTGATCAGTTTGACGAAGCACTCGTAAGTCTGCAAAGCGAGTTCTCTGGTAGGCAGAACTACAAGAGCTCTGATGCCGTCAGCTCTTGACAGTTTCGGCTGAACTTTTCCCAGTGACTCGACTATTGGCAGCGCATAAGCGAGTGTTTTCCCACTGCCTGTCTGAGACCTCACCAGAGCGTCTGAGCCCGCAAGCAGCACAGGAAGAGTAATTTTCTGGACGGTTGTCAACGTCGTCACTCCAAAATTATCTTCTAAATTTTTCACCTAAAAAAAATTGTTTATTTGTATAAATGTGCCCTAAACAGCAGGTTCTGATAAGTGATTACAATGGTGCTGTACAGTGCACATAGTGAAACAAACGTCCTATCATTGTGTACAGTGTTATTACTTGCAAGCCGCCAACTGTGGCCGCAAGTAATAGACTGAAGTTATTATTGCTGGCTTCTTCTCTGGTAAACGCTACATTTATTAACATACAGTAAAACATCACTAATTTGCCATCTAGTAACTCGATAGTCAACAGCTAACGGGGGTAAAAAAAAAGCATTTTTAAGAACATTTAGTTTTTTTTTACATTTCTTTGAAAATTTTTACTCAATATCATTGGCTATTAATAGTCAAAGTGACAAATTGACAAGTTAATGAGGTATTATTTTCTATCCGAGCAATCAGATGTATTCAATTAGACCTATGGGCAATTATTAAAGAATGTCAAACCGGAAATATTAAAATCCAATGGAACATAGTATAAGGATCCGATCAGTGGCGGATGGTGGGTTAAAATAGTGGGAGGACATACTCAACAATTTACCTGGGGAAATTATTTTAATCGGGTTTTGGCGGGCCGAGCAGCTTTAACTCAACTCTGTTTTCAAAACTTACCACCTCCACCTCCTCAGCCGCCGATAGATATTAAGGAATTGGACATATCAAGGTTTGAGTTATCTAGGCCCTATTGTATTCTAGTATCCAAAAGAACATGCTTAGGCTAGCATTACAATTACATTGAAAGTTTGAATGAAAACAGGATCAAAACCAAGTACATATAAGGCTAGAAAAATTTTATTAAGTAGAGAATAAAAGCTTAAGAGTACATCAATATCCAAGCATTTGAACCAATCCAGGTTTTACAGAATAGCCTACCGTAATTTAAGAATTAAATATGCCTATCAAGTGAGTACGTACTGAAAAGTTTTCTTACTTTTTATATTTAAATAAATACTCACTTTTTTACAATTAAACAAAATTATTATTCACAAAACTAACACAAGATTCTTAAACACATTTTACACATAGTTTATTTCACACCATTTAATTGTTATATTGTTATTCTAATAAGTTCATTACAGCTGTTCTTTTTCTAGTAAAGGCAGGCTTAAACAAACATTTTATTTTTATATTATACTAGCTGTAACCCGCGGGCTTTGCCCCGTTTAACTTCTTAATTTTCAAGATTATCTCGTTCGCATGGCTCAATCACGTCCTGGTTGAAGTTTTTTCGCTACGCTCACTCACCTTTAGGTTGGAGCTCGTTCGCTACCCTCACTCACCTTTAGGTTGGAGCTCGTTCGCTACCCTCACTCACCTTTAGGTTGGAGCTCGTTCGCTGCGCTCACTTGCCTTCAGGTTAGCTCGTTCGCTACGCTAACTCGCCTCCAGGTTGAAGTTCGTTCGCTACGCTCACTCACCTTTTGGTTGCAAATTAGCTGTTGTCATAAATGTAAAAGAAATAATAGTGCTGCACCCTGTTGGTAATCCTTGTAACTTGAATGCTATTGAACATCATAGAACAGAACCAAACTTGTTTAATTGAACCAGCTGTTAAGATTAAATAATTCCATTTCTCATAAGGTTAACATGGGAAACTCCAGAGCCACTGGGGCGGAGCCCGAAAGGATTTTTGAAATAAGAATATGCCTATATGTTAATCGGGAATGTGAGCTATCATCATGCCAAATTTCAGCCCAATCCGACCAGTATTTTTCGCGTTCACTTGTCACAAACATACATCCATACATCCAAACTTTCTCATTTATAATATTAGTAGGATTTAACACTCCCCCTTAAGAATAAAATGTTTTATATATTTCTCAACGCTAGATTCTTGAAAACCCATACTGCTAGCTTAGTTAATAATATTGTTTGTGTTTTACAAAGTTGAAAAACAATTTTAACATTTGAAAATACACTGTTTTTATTAGATTGTCTATTTATTGTCCATTTAATTTAATGAATAATATTTACATATTTACAGTACATTGTTTACCTCATCATCTCATTTCTAAGTTTCAACTCAAAATTAGGCAAAGCTTTTAATGAGGATTTCTTTGAACTTTTGAAATTTAGGGTAAGTAAGAGATTTTGTGAAAATGTCACCCAACTGTTCATCAGACCTACAGTATTGGAGTGCAAACAGGCCTTCATGAAATTGTTCACTTATGAAGTAATAGCGCACATCAATGTGTTTGCTTCTGCGGTTCATTTGACCAGATTGAATCATTTTCATTGCGCTTTGATTGTCTATGTTGAGTGTTATTTTCACTGGCTTGTTAGTAAGTTCACTAATTAGAGTTTTCAAATATTTTAGTTCCTTGCAGCATTCAGCAGCGGAAATATATTCTGCTTCAGCTGTTGAAAGTGCTACAATGGGCTGTTTTCTTGAGCTCCAAGTCACAGGTCCACCTGCGAACATTATTACATAACCACTTGTACTTTTTCTGTCTTGAGTGTCTCCTGCAAAATCAGAATCACAATAAGCATTCAGCTCAATTTTGTCACGTTTAATTGAAGAGAATCTTATTCCATTGGTTTGTGTTCCTTTTAGATATCTAAGGGTTCTCTTTACATTTTGGATATCATTTTTGTCAGGATTTTCCAAGTGTCTACTTTCATAACTGACTGAAAAATTCATATCAGGTCTGGTTTTGTTAGTGAGGTAAAGCAGACTTCCTACTGCTTCTCTGTAAGGAAAAGCTCCTTTAGTAGTATTTTCATGAAGAGTTTCAGTTGTATCTTTCAGGTTAATTGGTGTCTTTACTTCTTTGCAGTTCTTCATATTGAATCTTTCAAGAATTTGTTTTGCATACTTTTCTTGACTGATTAAAATTCCGTCCCTGTTACGTTTGATCTCCATCCCTATATAAACTGTTGGATTTGGACTGATCGTCATCTCAAATTCATCTTCAAGTTGCTTTAGTAGGTTTGCAATTTTTCCTTCATTTTTACCAATCAAAATACCATCATCTACATGGATAGCTAAGTAGAGATCGTTATCGAGATTCTTAAAAATACACTGATCTGACTTCAGTTGTGTCAATCCTTGACTTTTAAGAAATGAAGTAAATTTCTTGTTCCACAAACATGGTGCATGTTTTAAACCATACAATGATTTATTTAGTTTACAGACTTGACCTTGTTCTTCAAAACCTTCTGGTATCAACATATACACGTCTTCTTCCATTAGACCATATAGAAATGCTGTTTTTATGTCAAATGTTTGTATATGCATGTTTTCTTGTGCTGCTATAGCAAGAAGTAATCTTAGTGAAGTACTGTCCACTACAGGACTAAATGTATCTTTGAAATCTATTTTCCCTTTTTGCTGACATCCTTTAACAACAAGTCTCGCCTTATAGGTTCCATCATCTTTGACTTTGAAAATCCATTGAGTTGTTAAAATTTGCTTTCCTAAAGTTTCTTTTCTGTCAACAATTTCCCAAGTTTCATTTTTCTTCAGAGATTCTTTTTCATTATTTATTGCAATTTTCCATTTTTCTTTTTCATCTCCATTGATACATTCATTGTACGTCAAAAATGCGTTAAGATCATAGTCTTCATATCTGACGGGTCTTTTTATGTTGTTTCTCTGTCGAAAATTATATCTTTCGTTTCTTATTTCAGGTTCTTCTTCATCAGTATGTCCATTTTCGTCTTGATATAGGTCTTCTGGTTCCTGTTCATGTTCTTCTTCGTGTTCAGGTATAGTGTCTTCTTCTTCTAGTTCTTCACTTTCATCTAGTACAGCTTCTTTTTTAACGTCTTGTCGATCATTGGTTTTAGGTTTAGTTAATTTCTTCATGCTCTCATTATTTAGGTGTCCTAACTTTTTATGCCATATTTTCATTAACCCTCCCAGTGTTACTTGACGAAAATTCGACAAGCAGCACACTTTGTGTAGTGTTACTTGTCGATTTTTCGACACGCAGACATCGTTTACGGCGAAGGCTCTATGACTGACTGAATCGGATTGAACTGGATCGAGTTAGGTATCGTTCTTTCCGTAATATTCTAAGCTTTCTCCAGAGGTCTGTCTCTAAGCGCTATTCATTTTAGTTCCGAAAATATTGTAGCAGACAGCTGACGTGCGTGTATTTGTAAACAGCTAGGTTCCCCCGGACCGATGACTGATGTGTTTTATTACGTTTATCATTGTTTTAGTGTTAAAAATCAAAAGTAGTGATATACGTGGTGCATTATAAGAAGATTTAAGTGGTTTTGAAGTGCTGGTTGATGATCCTGAAGAAGTAGGTAGTGATATTGATGTAAATTATCAGCCAGATTCCTAGCTATGGTTAGGCTATGCATTCTTAGCTAAACGCTATGTACTGAAATCAGTTTTTTGCCCATAACTTATTTATTTGCAAATATACTTCCTTATATTATTATATATTTGTAATCCTCATAAAATTTAGAACAAAGTGGCTATTTTCAAATATTTATAGGCCTATAATTTATACAATTTCATTGAGCGCGAACTTATTTTTTTTTTGAAAATTTTTGAAATTATATATTTTTTACCTAAAAATTTTTTTTTTTTTTTAAATGTTCCTTATGTTTTATATATAATATTGAAGCCCATGATTTTCCAAACAAAATGGTATATAGAACATAAGAATTAACATTGTTTTAAGCTTCTCAGATCCGTTTTAATAAAACCTTGCAAATGCGCCAAAAATAGGTGGACATTAAGGCCTAAACTATGGACACTTGGAGGGTTAATTCCCTAGAATTTTCTTGATTTTTAGGTTCGTTTTTATCACGGTCATCATTTCCTTTACAGACTTCATTGCTTTCACTATTGTCTTCTTGTTGACTGTTGTTATTTACCACCTCACCTGACTGAATTGTGACGCTGGTATTACTATTAGAGAGACTATTCTCACTACAAATGCTGCTTCTTAAATTGACTACATACAATCCCTGACTATTTTTATTACCTTCAAGTATCATTTCATCATTTTTAATGACTTCTACTTTATTTTTAGTGAAGACAACTGTACCACCTTTTTCCGTAATGGCATTTACAGACATTAAATTATTACTAAGTTCTGGTACGTAAGAGACATTATTTAAAATACACTTGTCTGTTTCAATGCTACCAATACCTAGAGAAAAACATTGACTGGTTTTTCTTAGCGACTGATATTTCCTGTTTGAACTCTTTTAGGTTATTTAAAATATTACTGCAGTTGGTCATATGGTTTGGGGTGCAACCACTGTCAACAACAAAAGCCTTGTTAACTTCTTTTACTTCATTTATATGCTTAGGCATACTTGTAGTACAGGCAAAATAGATAAAAATTCACAAAAAAAAACAAAAAAATTAGTTGGGATGAAACTTTGGTTTTAACTTCGTTTTACCAATAGAAGTCAAAATCCGATGAGTCCCTAACAGTCCCGATGGGGGAACATGGTTTTTAGGGGGCGGGGAGGGGGGATTTTGATATAATTCATTATTCACGATTTGAAGTAATTTAGGAAGTCGTTTTTAAGGTTAGTATACACGGTGAATCGATAGGAACCATATTTAGGTCGATAGAACCACCTCCATAAGAGATTTAGCATATTGGTACATGTTTAGTTGTTATTTTTTCTAGGAGGGGTAGGGGGAATTTTAAATAATTTATGATTTTTGACTTATGACTTGTTGGGTGTCGTTTTCAATGGATTTCTACATGCCAAATAGAATGGAACCACTATTTTGTCGATATAACTACATTATTAACAGATTTGGAGTGATATCTAAAATAAAATAAATGTTTGTGCACAAAATGAATTATTTAATATTCAAACATAAAAAATAAAAAAAATAACTTAGCATCAAGTATTAATTGAATGAGTTCATTTTTGCAATAAATTCAATTTTCCCCATTATAAAAAATACCCCTGCCGCAGCAAACCTGCAGACCAAGCGAATTTCCATTTATCTGGCAGGATTTCTACAAAAATTTATCCTTGAAACTGTCCGATTTAGTTCCTATTTAAATAACATTTTTTTAAATTAATAATTAGGTTTGCTGCTACAGGGATATAATGGGGGTCGTTTTTATTAAAATCTTAAAATATCCTTCAGCAAGTCAAAGAAATACTTTCTAAGTTACAACGAGGTTTTTAGCGAATTTCCTACATAGGGAATAAGCTATTACCGTAGGTCTCATGGTAAGACCTAGACCCGGGACCAATTTACTTTTTTGTTTTGAGGCCCCCAGAAGTCAAAAACACCATCCTTTCAAATTCATATACATATGTGTCCATTTAGCGTGATACCTCGAGCACAAATTATCCAATTTTGATGTAATTTGGTACAAACGTGTAAACCTAAATTTATTCGAACGAGTTTGCAAACCAGCATGATTGGACTATGGGAACAGGGGTTTATGGGGATTTTTATGGGGGGAAAATTGGGGTTTCCCATTTTGACCACATGAACAAAGAATTTCACAATTTCTTTCCAAACTACTTTCTTCAGCTTAAAAGATTAAATTGTTTAATTTATGCCTGGTTGTACGCCTAACGGTTCAAATCAAATCAAATCAAATTATCTTTATTCACATTTTACATACATGAATAGTGTCAACGCATACACAATTGGTTATACAACTTAATCTAAAAGACTGAACCATACAATTTTACAATTATTTAAGAATGTAAAGCTAATTCATTTTTGATTTAGAAACTCATCTATACTATAAGGAGCCAGATTAATTAAAAATGATTTTAATTTCTTTAAAACATTGGGTTTGTTTTGATCTTTTTTTAGTAAGGCAGACAAACTTCTTATGAATAAATTGCCAAATACGTTTCAAATAAGTTTCAGCCGATGATGACTTTTTACAGTAAGATTTTTCCACCTTGTGCTGTATTTATTGGATACACCAGTGTTTTTATATTTATAAACATGCTGAATAGTTTTAATAATATACAAACCATACACTGTAAAAATTTTCATTCCATCATTACATTGTAAAAAAAAGTACTTTAATTTTTTTTTTATTAAATAAGTTTCTTTTATTTACTTTCCGTAAAAATAAAAAAAAATTTCACCGACTTCTTATCCTTATAGATTCTTATCCTTTAAGGTTAAGGAGATAATTTAAAAAAATGTAAATTAAAAATTCCCATGTTATTCTAATGGAAAATAAATAAACTATTCCCTTGTTTGTGGATATATTTAAACAAATTTGGCAATTTTGTTTATTGTATACTAAAGCTATCAACATTTCAATAAAAACAACCCCTATTACCTCCCCTGTAGCAGCAAACCTAATGACTCATTAAAATTATTGTTATTTAAATAGAAAATAAATAGTAATCCTGTCAGGTAAATGCAAATTTGCTTGGTCTGCAGGTTTGCTGCGAGGGGGTATTTTATTATAATAGGAGAAATTAAATTTATTAAAAAAATTAACTCATTCAATTAATACTTGATGTTAAGTTGATTTTTTATTTTTTATATTTGAATATTAAATAATTCATTTTGTGCACAAACATTTATTTTATTTTAGATATCACTCCAAATCTGTTAATAATGTAGTTATATCGACAAAATAGTGGTTCCATTCTATTTGGCATGTAGAAATCCATTGAAAACGACACCCAACAAGTCATAAGTCAAAAATCATAAATTATTTAAAATTCCCCCTACCCCTCCTAGAAAAAATAACAACTAAACATGTACCAATATGCTAAATCTCTTATGGAGGTGGTTCTATCGACCTAAATATGGTTCCTATCGATTCACCGTGTATACAAACCTTAAAAACGACTTCCTAAATTACTTCAAATCGTGAATAATGAATTATATCAAAATTCCCCCTCCCCACCCCCTAAAAACCATGTTCCCCCATCGGGACTGTTAGGGACTCATCGGATCTTGACTTCTATTGGTAAAACGAAGTTAAAACCAAAGTTTCATCCCTGAACTAATTTTTTCATTTTTATTTAGTATTTTTCCTGTACTATTGTTTCAAGGATTAGGCCTACCTGTTCCTCCTTAACCTTGGTCAGAAAAACAGTTTTATGGGTGTTTTTAGGATCTTTGTTATTGTTATTTTTACTAGACCTATCTCTAAAAAAACAATTCTTAGTATCATGGTTACTTTTCTTACAAATAGTACACATCATTGGCCTATTTTCCTTAACTTTATTTTTAAGATAACAGTTTGACTCATAATGGTTATTCTTTTTACAAAAAGAGCAAAACTTTTTACCAGGACAATTCTTTTGGATGTGACCTATCTTTTGACAAGTGAAACATTTTACATTATTAGGCTTATTATATTTAGTCATACCTTGTTCATATTGAGTAGAGCTAGCTTTAAAAACTGTACTTTCATTACCACTACTGCTGTCCATAGATTTCATCTTACTTTCCTCTTGAACAAGTCAAGCTTTCAGATTTTCGAGTGTCCTTTCCGTAGCTGATGTCGAGTCCCAGGCACTGTTGAAATGTCTGAAGCTTTCTGGTAGTATCGTCAGGATCTTTGTTATCACCATTGTGTCATCTATTTTCTGGTCGAGTTGGTTTAGTTTATAAGTTAGGTTCTGTATTAGGCAAAGGTTACTCATCATATCAATTTCTCTATTGTACTTGAAGTTGTAAAAGTCCTGAAGTAATGCACATTTTTGGGTTTCAGTATCTTTTTGAAAAAGTCTTTTTAGTGTTTGAAACATTTCATGGGCGTTTTTACAAGTTAAAATATGAGGTTTAATTTGGTTATCAATTGTTAGCAATATATAATGTTGAGCCTTGGCATCCTTTACCTTCCACTTTTTTATTTTTGATGCATCATCACCTTGTTCATCTAAGGTTTCAGTTCCGTTTACTACATCCATCAGTTCTCGTGCTTTGAACAACACACTAATCTCAAATTCCCACATAGCAAATGTTTCCACGTTTTTAAGTCTTTGAATAGTGTTATAATCATTTTCACTGGTCATTATTAGTAAATGTTGATATACTCACGCTAAGAGACAACTTCAAACTTTGTTCTTCTGGTTTTAGTTTTATGGCATTAATAGCCCTGTTCTTACTTGGTTTTATTTTATGGCATTAGCAGCCCTGGGTGTTAATTTTTAGTTTTATGGCATGAGCAGCCCTGGTTGTTAATTTTTAGTTTTATGGCATGAGCAGCCCTGGGCCCATAACCTGAAAAGTTTTCTTACTTTTTATATTTAAATAAATACTCACTTTTTTACAATTAAACAAAATTATTATTCACAAAACTAACACAAGATTCTTAAACACATTTTACACATAGTTTATTTCACACCATTTAATTGTTATATTGTTATTCTAATAAGTTCATTACAGCTGTTCTTTTTCTAGTAAAGGCAGGCTTAAACAAACATTTTATTTTTATATTATATTTAACACGTACGTCATACTCACAGTGTATGGGTGAATGCCAGGGCAATCCTTGTACAAGTCACTGCTGAAAACAGATTCACACACAGGTTTTATCTCATTTGATTTGACATTAGGAATCTCAGGGTTATGAGCAAACAATGAAGAGACATGTTGAGTCTGGCTTTGCTTCGTGTCTTGGTTTGATCTTTTCCTTTTCTTTGTATATTTTTCATCTTCATTGTCTATCGCAGAAGTGTCATCTTTGAAACGTTTGTTTTTCTTTTTCCCAATTTTTCCTTCAGTTTTCTGTAAAAAATTAGTAAGTTAGGTACCGTAGTTAGAAAAAACTAGTGTTAAATTGCAGAAGCAAATAAGTGGATTCTACGGCGATGTGATAAAAAATGTATCCAACCAAGTTAAGTTAGGTCTAATTTAAAATTAAGTTAACTTCAAGTTCAAAATATTATTGTAGGAAATAAAAATGTATCCTAACTGGTCCAGTACCGGTACCTGATCATTTTCACGGAAATAAAGCATTCCATTTCACCTATCCTATTCTTAACTAGGCCTAAACTAAGTTAGGTAGCCTATAGCACAGAAAACATACTAGCCTACTATAACCCAGAATGCCAACCGCATGGTAAAAAGCATTAAGTGTTAAGTGTGTTGAGAGAGAGCTTTGCCTGTCAATTCGTTCAGCGCCACCAATTGTAACACTGTTGCAACGCTGGTGGCACTGCCTACGAATTGACAGGCAAAGCTCTCTCAAAACACTTAATGCTTTTTACCATGCAGTTGGCATTCTGGGTTATAGTAGTATGTTTTCTGTGCCTATAGGGCCTATAACTTGTATTACCTTTGTCTGTCTTTGCTGTTCACATTAAGGTATCCAACTAGTTTCCTTCGAGACCAAGAGTGCAAGTGCAAATCTAAGACCAATACCGTACATTCATTAACTCCATCCACTGCTATTCTAGCTATTCCCATCCCTACTAGTCTCGTCATTGTAGTTAAATCGTGATTTAAGTAAAGGAAACTCTACTGCTAAACAAGAATCATGGACAGTGATTATGTTTCTATGGGAAGAGGGGTACAATTCCGCAGGAAACCTGTGACATATTAGCCTATTGGATTAAATATCGATGTTTTTAAATGGCCTTAGTGTCGAAACCTGGTATAAGTTATTAATAAATAATTTTATGCTTAAAAGAGTAGGCCTTCTCAATTTATATTAATGTTTAAACTTACATTAGGGCCTATATATAAAAGCCATATTAGGCCTACTCTGTTTTTCCATAATGATTTTAAGTTAGCCAAATTTGGTTTGAAATTAATCAAATTGTTAAGTTACCATAAAGATAACTTAAAGGCCTTACTTAAATAAAAACAACAACAAAACATAATAAGGTTTTTTGTTTATTTTATCCTCAATTTGTAGGCCTAGACGCCTAAAAATGGTTTTTAGACGTAGGCCTACAAATTAAGTATAAAATAAACAAACATCTTCGTTTTGTTATTGTTTTTATTTTAAATCCAAGAAGTTTAAAGTGGTAAAATAAAGTAAGTTATTTGTAACTGACAATCTCACATATCACCTTTGGGAATAAGTTAACCCTAAGTTATAGAGACGTGAAGTTTAAGTTGTCGGGTCGGGTCAGGATCCGTTTCTCATTTTCTAAAGGCAATTAGGTACCGTACGGTACCAAATTACCCTATTCCCTGATTTGTAGATTATTATGTTTGCTTCTAGTATTAGTGCAGTAGAAATAGGGTTTGAGGTGGAACTAATTGCAACAGAAATTATTCCAGTTAGAAATGGTAGGTAATACACTTATAAAAAACATACTAAAAATATACATTTGTACTGTTACGCAAAATACGGTTTTTTGGTCGCCATTTAAAAAAAGTGTAAAATTTTAAATTATTGTAAAAAATCTGGTTTAGTATCAAATTATAGAACTTTTCATGCTGGAAAAGAATATAATGGTTGAATTTAAAATATACTGTTAACAGTGATGCACTATGGGCGAAAAAAGGTGCATTTAAAAACGTGGCATTTGAAAAGTTTTGTATTTATAAGTTATTTTATACTTTTAAAATTTTTTTTTTTCATTTTTGACCCTTAAAACGTAAAATTTCCCAATTTCTCTCTAGATCTTTTTAAAGAGATTAAAAAACAAATAGTTAAGTATATCAAAGGGGTTTTGTACGATTATTGGTAACGGGGAAATTCAAAAAATTGGAAATTTAAAATCCACATGTTATTTTTATGGAGAATATGGTAAAAAGTGGTAGTTTCCTTGCTTATGGATATATTTTGATAAAACTTTGAAGATTTATTTGCTTTATACTAAACAATTAATATTTTACTAAAAACACACTTAATTGGTTTCCTTGTAGCAGCAAACCTTGGTACTCGTTTCGTTAAACCTAATGTTATTTATTTAATAGACTAGCAACAGAGCCCATTGTGGTTAAATTATTGCAACGGTCTCTAGTGAAATAATGGTTATCAAATCCATACACCACTTTACTCACTAATATTTGGTACATATTAAGCTCATAACATTAGAATCACACACTTAACATAAGAAACACACTTAAAACACAAATGCAAATTGTTAACAACAATATTTAATCAAAGAAAATTTAATTAAATAACAATATAAAAATAAGCTGTTAAATTATCAACTCATTTTTCGTATGGTTTGATTATGCATACTGGTAAATCAATTATTGCCGTCTATAAAAATAATTGGTTTTTCTTTTCCGAGTCGGGTTAGCTCTTCTACCAGACCGATTTTCATAATTTTGGCCTTAAGCCGGGTTTACACTATGTAGCTAAACCTGCTACATTGCAGATTTGTGTAACATCTAGCAATGTTATATAAAATTTGCTAGAAGTAGAAAAAGTAACTTTACAAAAGTGCTATATAACACTGCTATATGTAGCAGATCCTGCTATATATAGCTAAAATTGTGCTATCCATCGGGAGTCGGTAAATATCAAAAGAAATACGTGCTACATCTAACATTGCCATATGTAGCAATGATATACATATATTTTTCGTCTAGCATCTGCTATATGTAGCGCTGAACGGTTTTGCTCAGCGATCTTTGTTTACAATGGAAGGACTGGAAACGGAAAGTGGCAGTGCCTAGGATCGGGATGATATTATCGGGGCTATTGGTATTATAAACTTAATTGAACTGTTCCGTGGACAACCGGCGTTGTGATCATACGTATAACGTTTTTGAAGTTACCGTCACCTTATTTAGCGTTTTAATTATGGATTGTCAGGGTATTCATCATCATTAAGGTCCCGTAATAAATCTGCTACACTGTACTTATTTCTCGAAGCAAGAAGCGGTCAAACCTAAAACTTGCTAAAATCTTCGCTACTGTCTGTCTCTCTCTCTGACTTCCAAGATCACCACGATAGCTGCCACGAACAATGTCTCTTCAGCGCACATTTCGATACGGAATGCGAATGAGGTTGTGCTACATATAACATATAGCACGAGCACCAGAATCACTAAAATTTTTTGAAAATTTTTCATACAGCAAAAGTTATAAAGCAATGTTATATAGCAAAAGTTATATAGCAGGTTTTGCTACATAGTGTAGGCCTAAATCCGGCTTTTAAACTAAAGCTAAGGACGCACCATAGATTTGCTATTAAGCACCAGCACTCATTTTGACGTATATTTTAAGTTATGCACAAACTGCCTTCCTGTAAATTACTTACGGGAGTTAAATTTGTTTTTTCGAGTTCGTTTGGCTCTTCTACCGGACCGATTTTCATAATTTTGGTTTCAAAGCTATGCAAGCACATATTTGTCATCATTAATCTATCAAATGTATTACCATACGAAAACAATTAAATTGGATTTCTTTTCAATTTAAAAAATGTATTCTAGCAGTTACATTATCCTATATGTTTTTATCTAAAAATCTTCAGTGAAATACCAGATTCCATTGGAATTATAGATATCAGACGTACCTAAAGCATAGGTACTGCTAAATCATAAACGACCCAAATTGTTTAAAAATGGAGTTATCTATCATCGATTTATAGTTAAAAAGATCTTGCTTGCAACCTCAACAGTACCTAGGCTAACTGTCCACGTTGACGGGTTTCACCTAGCAAATCTTAAAAAATCAAACTTTCATAATTATTTGAAAATCTACAAGAATTGCTTTCCAATGACCCATTACTTAATAAAATCGGTCCAGTAGAACTCTAGATTTAGTTGTACAAAGATTTTTAAAACTGAATTACTAGATTTAATTGAAAATCAATTAAGACAAATGGAAATTCGTTTAGTCTGCAGGTTTGCTGCGGCGGGGGTATTTTGTACTACGATCGTATTTTTAAATAGTGTTTATAACCACTATTATAACATTTTTCAGCATTAAATTTTCTATAACTTGATACCCAAAAAGTTATTTTTATGAATATTAAAATGTTGACACTTTTTCAAGATGGCGGCCAAAAAACGTATTTTGCGCCACAGTACGGATGTATATTTTTAGTATATTGATTAGAAGCATACTACCTACCATTCACAGCCAGAATCATTTCTGTTGCAATTAGTTCCACCTTAAGCTATATTTTCGATTATTTCTACTGCACTATATACCTAAATTTGTTTATAATTTATTGATGTTTTAACTTAACTTGGTTATGTTTGTTTTGTTAACTTACAACAATATATCTATATATTTAATATGCTAGGCATATTTTTGTCATAATCGTTTTGGAGTGGCGGTGCTACCGATCACCATGTCCCAGGTGTCGTTAGAAAGGTCTTAGCATGTAGTTTTGCCATCAAACAAAAAAACTTAGGAATTTCATCAGGGCTCTGCCTCAGTGGCCTTTAAAGTTCCCATGTTATTCTTAGGGATAAAATGTTTGTTTACATTTGTACAGATGAATACTTTGAAATTGACACTAATATTTGAAACACCTGGTTACTAAAATTTTGCACAAAATCAAAACATAACCAAAAAAACCTTCGACATAATGGAGACTATAAGACGTTGACCAGGACGGCCAATAGGAGAAGGCCGACGAACTTTAACTGGTAGACGCGAACAAAATACAAATAATACTATTGTTGTTGATAGCCAAATACAGCAAGCACCCTTCCGTGTTGGGTTTAAGTGTGCTCTCCAGCAGCTGCCTTAAGATTTCACATTCAATTTAGGACTGTTGGATAATCGCTGGATAAGCTGTTGATTTTGGAAGACAAGGAGGCAGGTAGGACTACATCCCAAACAGAAGAAAGGAGATATTAGATGAGTGGCAATGCGTTAAGAGCAGAGTGTTTTATGTTAACTTTTTAAAGGTAAACATTCAGATATATAAATAACATCAGAAAGAGACTGGAACAAGATTGGGAGATGGCCCATTATGAAACACAGTTTGTCACAGGACATGGAAAATTTCTAGGCAAATTTGTGAAGATTTCACATGGTAGAAGATTTCACATGATAGAAGATTTCACATGGTAGAAGATTTCACATGGTAGAAGAGGAAGTACCGTATGTAGATGTGGAGAAATAAAAACCACGAGTCACGTACTTAAATAAATTGTTCACTTCAGGAGACAAATAGGAGAGAACAGGAAGAAGTCTAGGATAAGATAGGTCTAGATGAGAAAATAAAATATGATGAGTGACAAGGAAACAGTTGAGACGTTTAGAAAAGCAGCTAGGTAAATTGCTCAATTGTTTAGATATTTGGATTGGAAATGAAAATATTTTAGAAGCAATTTAACTTAAGTTACGGTACATTGAACGATTGAACCAAATTAAAAATCAATAAGCAGTATATACCTAAATAGACCTTTCGATATCCAATACAATAGTATATCGTAGGTTCTATGTGGAATCTACGATATCGTAGGTTCTATGCGGAATCTACGATATCGTAGGTTCTATGCGGAACTAACTTATACCCAACAATTTTGGATAGGCTACCTACCTAGACCTCCCTAAATCAGGAGCAGGACAGGACTGACTTTATCCGGCCTACTTTATAAAAATGAAACTATGAGTACCTATACCAGTATGTTTAATCTATGATAATACATAAATCATGCATGAACTGGAAATCTATTGGTTATACCTTGTAGGCCCTAAAGGTGAATTTCGACTGTTTAATTCGATATATCGTTTGGTTGGTTAGGTTAGGTTAACCTTACCTAACTAACCAAACGATATATCGAATAATCGATGTATCGATCGATATTTTCAGTCGGTTGTTTTTGCCAACAGATATGGAAGTGTACCCCTAATAATAATAATGCTTAAGGCAAAAGCCTACCTTAGTAAAGTTTTCTTCTGCTGAATAACCAGTCCCTATGTTTAGAGTCAAAGAGTCCACAACGGCGGACATACTTTACTTTGGGTAAAACCACGGTAAAACTTAGTAACTACGAATTAATCAATTAGCGTTTTATTTTTGATAGAATACAAAGTATAACATATTCAAAAATGTTACTTAGTTTAAGTGCAAGGTTTTATATTCATAACCATAACCTAAAGGTAAAGATTTTGTTGACACCACCAAATCCCACATGTAGAAGAATAGAAGAATAGAATGGATGTCTGTCGTCTACTACTCGTCTGTCTGTCTGTAATTTGGTGAATCTCACTCAACGACAAGTGGCAGGTTGTAGCAGGTTGTAGTTTTGTACCATGCAACTCCAAGCTATTAAATGTTGTTTGATTTGATATAGCATTGATTATCACATGGTTGAGTTTTCTTCAGTATTTTTAATGACAACAATTTACCATAAACATTGTTGATTGGATTAAAATAAAATTAACGTACTCCAATCTACTATAAATTCAGTTTACTATCACAGCACTATATCGGTATATCAGTTTCAATGCTGCTTTATACATTACTGTAATAATTAATTTTCCATACTGAGTATTGATTTCCGTCCAGTAAGTCTGGACTGGTTAGATTTTAAATTTAATTGTCGACGTTTTCTCCAAATATGAGGTTTCCATGTTTGCTTTGAATCTAAATGGATACCAAAATACATCTAAAGTATTTTTAGCCTCGTCCTCCGGAAGTTGCGGATTATTTATTGTGACAGGAGGGCAAACATTTCGATTTAGAGTAAATAAGTCAATAAGTCATTTATTTGGCAAATTAACAAATACAATTTGCATAAGCTTTTGTCAATAGACTGAATACAACCATAGAATAGATAAAACATACTACCCATTATGTTTTATCTATGATACAACTTTGGCAACTCAAAATGTATACCTTTATAACGGGTGGTCGATAAAAATTGCTAACATTTTGTTTTGTGACAGCACTGACAGCTCAGCTAATTCATCGGTTAGAGAGATGATTTGAATGGTTCCTTAATAGCATATTTTTGTAATTATAAGTTGTCCAAATTATTCAACATATATCTATGGAAGTGGCGTAAAAAATTAATAATGTTTACATTTTTTTGTTTTTTGCAATTGAAGTAATAAACAAAAACAACGCTATGTAACAATTAATTACAGTTTATTTATTAAAACTCAAAGAAATTCATGAATTTGAGTTTTGACATCTGAATTATTATTTGAGTTTTATTAAACTACTGTAATTGTTATTTTACACAGTAAAAAACCAACAGTACACAGTAACACAGTACATTACAGTAATTGTTATTTTACTGTATTTGTTATTTTTTAATTGTTATTTCTTTTGCGCTGTTTTTTTTTAATTACTAACTTCACACCCTCAAATAAACATTTTATAGATTTTGCACATTATTTATTTTTTATGCCACCTACATTAGACAAGTAGAATTAGTTTGAACAACTTAAAATTTAAAATACCCCCGCCGCAGCAAACCTGCAGACTAAGCAAATTTCCATTTGACTGATTTGATTTACACTGAAATTTCTACTTAAAAATATAACATTTATTCCCAATTTAAATAGAATTAGTTTAACAAGTACTTAGGTTTGCTGCATCAGGGAGGGTAAAACTGTTTTTTTTTTTGTAAAATGTTAATAGTTAGTAAGAAATAAAAACATTTTCCAAATTTGATCAAAATATGCTCATAAACAAGCAAACTACAACAGTTTACTTATTCTCCATAAGAATAACATGGGAATTTTAAATTTACAATTTTTTGGAATTTTCTCCGGAACCATTAGGCGCATAATAACGCTTCAATATACTAAATTATTTTTTTTTTTAAGCTCTACAAAATGGTTTTGAAAGAAATTGCTAAATTTGATGTTTTTTGGGTAAAAAATGGGAAAACCTATTTTTACCCCATAAAACCCCCCGTAAACCCCCGTTCACATGGTCCGATCATGCTGGATCGCGAACTCGTTCGAATAAACGTAGGTTTACACGTTTGTACCAAATTTCATTAAATCGGATCATTTTTGCTCGAGTTATCGTGCTAACGGACACATATATATATATGAATTTGAACGGATGGTGTTTTTGGCCTCTAGGGACCCCAAAACAAACAAAAAAATCGGTCCTGCGTCCAGGTCTTACCATGAGTACTACGGTAATAGCTTATTCCCTCCCTATATGGGAAATTCGCCAAAAACATCTATCAACATCTATCAACAACATCTATCAGATGTTTCACTGCCAAGCGAGCTCACCCCCCACAATATACACTATATAGTAATAAACATTATTTAAAAGAAGTAAAATAAAACCTAACCGTTACAATGCTATATTAATTAAGGAACCATTCAATGCAAAAATCTTCTCTCAAGTCCATGAAATAGTTGAGATGTGACAAAACAAAATGTTAGCGGTTATTATATGGACCACCCGTTACAATAAATAAAATAGAAAATAAAAAAACCTTTAATTTCTCTTGAATCTAAGGTAGCTAATGAGTAGCCCGATTAAAAGTTTGATTCCGTAGTACAAGAGGTGATGTTTAAAAAAGGAAGTGGAGTGAATTGGGAATCGCGGAGCACAAGGGATACATACAGGAATGAGAGCTAGTTGACATGAAACTTGAAAAGATTTTGCCTGACAAATTACAGCGTCTCAAGGATGTAGATGGAGGGGATTTTTTATATTCCAGATGAGCTGAAAACCCCTTGCAAGAATGGCCACGTGGGAGAGAGAAAATGGTTCTTACTGCGTTCTTCTGAAGCCTAAACAAGAAGAGTGTTCTTTGATTTTCAAGCAGCCGACACACTGAGCGCTAAAGCTGAGGTTCTGAGGATATTAGGGTTAGCACCGCAGCATCTGCTGGTGAGCTTCCTGATGATATTACTCGGTACAGATAATATGGCTGCAGATGCCCTGACTAGACTAGCGTATGTTCTTCAATCCAAAATCAAGAAAAACTGTTGATTGATTTACATGCGAATCTATGTCAACCAGGTGTTACACGTTTGTACCACTGGGTTCGGAGTAAAAACTTACCCTACTCGATTGATGAAATCAGACGAATAACAAACTCCTGCAATGTGTGTGCTGCTGTGAAGCCTAGATTCTTCAAACACAAAGGGATTTTGATTAAAGACACTTCTGCATTTGAACGGCTGAATATCGATTTCAAAGGCCCGCTGCCTTCATCAAGTCGAAACCATTACTTATTAGTAATAGTAGACGAGTTTTCACGGTTCCCTTTTGCTTTCCCGTGTTCAGACATGTCATCGTCAACAGTTAAGTTGAAAATACATTATTTTCTACTTTTGGGGTTCCTAGTTACATACGTTCGGACAGAGGAACATCATTTCTGAGCCAAGACTTAAAAAGCTACTTGAACTCACTTGGAATCTCAACTGATAGAACCACTGCGTACAATCCAGTAGGTATAATGGGCAAGTTGAAAGGTATGGCATTCTATGGAAAACAATTGAAATCACTTAACTTAGAAATAAACCAATGGAAGACAGTTTTAGAGGATGCCCTCAGCTCAGTGAGATCATTACTTTGCACACCCACAAATGAAACTCCTCACATGCGTATGTTCTTACATCCACGTAGATCTGGGAACAATTGTGTTTCAGCTCCTTCATGGCTTCTCAATTCCGGCCCTGTTTACTTGAAGAAATTCAATCGTACGTCCAAGTATATGCCACTTGTTGAAGAGGTCCAACTTCTTCACGGGAATGCCGAGTATGCTCATGTTAAGTTGCCTGATGGAAGAGAAACTACCTACACGTCATCATGCTCCGGTTGGTGAGTACCAAACCGACATAGAGCAAACCGATATTTTGAGAATTATGAAAATACTCTATTACCCACTTCACTTCTCAACCTGAACCTGAATACTTTCCTAGTCCATCATCAACACAGAATCAAGAAGATGAAATGAATACTACTGCCGAGAATTTACAACCTAGACAAGAAGCTTCTAGAGGAGAGAGCCATAACACATATTAAAGAAGAAGTTTCAGAAGCAGAAGACCTCCTAATTATTAAAATGACTACGTTCATTAACATTAGGGAGGAAGAATGTAGTAAAAAAACACGTGTCTTCAATTCTTTTATTATTGTTTTCTTGTGTTTGTAAACAAATCCATTATAATTCAATGTTGTACGGTATTGTTCAAGTTATTAAAAACTTTTCTAAAGGTGATAAAAGTTAATTTATTCTTACTCTCATTACAGTGGACCTCACAAAGAATAAGTAAATCGGTCCCGGGTCCAGGTCTTACCATGAGACCTACGGTAATAGCTTATTCATATGGGAAATTTCCTAAAATTGAGTGCTGTAAAAACATTTTAACTCTATCCAGTGTGTACAGTGTGTTTTAAAACACTTGCTTCCTTATTTAAAAACTGCAATAGAAAGAAATATGTAGGTTACAGGAATCATCTATTGACGCAGGCCCGTTTTTGACCCTGTCAGCGCCCTAGGCACATCTAATAGTAGCGCCCCTTTGCAATATATATATAACAGGGTGTCCACCGACCGGGAAATCCGGGAATCATGCGGGGGATTTTTGAACCATGAATTTTGTATTTATACCTAGAGTTTTCAATTCACCGTGATCGCGCATGACCAAAGTGATGTTTCCGTGATCGCAGGAGACGATAATATGTCTACACACGGCCGCGAGGGATGATCAGAATTTTCCGCGATTGCAGAAGACGATGGTGGTATCTACAGAGCCGCAACGGATAATTAGAGTATTGCCGCGATTACAGAAGACGATGATAATGTCCACACGACCGCGGGAAACAGCAAGAATTTTGCCGCGATCGTAGAAGACGATGATGATCTCCACACGACTGGAGGACATTTAACATTTTCCCGCAATCGCGGGAGACGATTACGATGTCTTCACAACTGCGGGAAACGATTACGATGTCTACAGAACCGCGGAATACAATAATGATTTCTACGCGGCCACAAGGGATGATCACAATAATGCCGCGATCGCTCAAGACGATGATAATGTCCACATGACCGCGGGAAAAGATGAGAATTTTGCCTCATTCGCCGAAGACGATTATATCTATATGTCCGCGGGAGATGATTACCATTTTGCCGCAATCGCGGGAGGCGATCACTATGTCCAAACGACCAACGGGGACGAT